GTCACAGAAAGTAATACTGCATAAGGCTGTGCATGTAAATCTTCGATTGGCTAGGTAGCACCAACAACCCTAAGGCGGTCTTGGGATCTTGATTGGGAGAATGGCTAAATGTAGTATATCTGGAAGTGGTGAGAGAAGCAGTGAATACAGCAAGGGGCTATAGTAAGAGGATGGCTTTACCAAATAAAGGAACACCTCTGGTATACAAGATTGGAAATTGGAAAACTAATAAGGAAAACACTGCATATCACAACATCGTTGATAGGTGCCATACTGATGCGTTATAAGTCAAGGTAGAGGCCTGCAAATTTCTAATTTTAAGGCTCAGGCCCGGCCTGCACACCGGGCTGAGCAGGCCCAGCCCGGGCCGGGCTTTGGGACCCAATGCAGGCCTCTAAGTCAAGGTTCCAGGTGCCCTTGTATTACCAAGCTGGAAGTAAAACGATCGTCAGTAGTACACCCATATAACATAAGTTATAATGGGAAGCTTCGGCATTCATGCTATAGTCAATCATACCAACTATGGGAGCATTGTATAAAGTAGGTGGTACACTGCAGATAACAACCGGAGATTTGATAAATCCAGCCATGCCGTAAAGTATCAATATATAGGGAAGGCTGTGTACACCAATATGGGAGCAAGAAGAGCAACAAACCGTCGGAATGAACCAATTTGGGAGAATTATCCCTTAAATTGTAATGCAGGCAAATTTGCCTGCAAATTTAAAAATTTAATTTAATTTTTTAATAAATTATCAAATATTTATTTTATAATATACTTTTATATATAAAAAATAAAATTTAATATTTGTTTAGTAATTTTATTAAAAAATTTTTTAAGTTTATTAAAAAATTTTTAAAACAATAAAGTTTTAAATTCTTGGCTTGGTTTAGTATTATTAGATAACTAAATTATCAACTAATTATTGGCCAATATTACTGCTATTTGGAATACTAAATTGCAACTTAGTAATTTGTTAAGATTTTCATGATAAGCTTGTATTATAAAGTACTGTATTCAATATCTTTCTAGAATAGTTACCCTAAAAATACCATCGCGTGAAAATTCTAACATATCGGTATACCAACATATAAATGCAGTGCTCTATAGTAAAATATTTTTGATGTCGCTTTATATATATTGCGTTGTCTATGTTAATTTTTTGCTTTCACTTATTAAGGGTGCTCTTAAGCATCTCTCTCTATGTGATTGGCTAATGATTGAGATCATACACAAGTACGTACTACCGCTACGATTAATTTAAGTAATCTTGGGATTGCACATCTCTACGATAAAAAAAAAATGGTTATTTTTCATCGCGATAATAACTTACTTGACCGGCTAAACTGTTTTTTCCACTAATTAAAAATCAAGCTCCGATCTATGAATTTAAGTACAAGCACCCTTGGCTCCGAGTCTGTAAAATTTCTTTCTTTCGGCGTTAGATCAGTGAATCTTCCAAGGACTATTACGTGTTATTTTTTTTATTTCTTTTGTCTTTTATATTTTGTTTCGTTTTACTAATGTTTTATATTTTTTAGGTTTAGGTGTTCGTGACTTGGTTGCTCTTCGGAAGTTTGTCTTGTTTTTGCAGTTCATCTTCGAGATTACGATTTTCAAGAATCGTAAGAATGCAATGATGTCTAACGGTAAATAAATTTACAGCTTCTCTTTCTTTTGTCCTGTGATTAATTTTTTTTCTTCTCAACAACAACTAACACTTTCTTTTCGTAGATCTAACTTTGAAATTAGCGGTAGGATAAGAGAAGCCTCTAAAACGACATGCATAGATATTATTTTGTATTTTCTATTATTAATATTCTTGTATGTATGACGAATTTCGATGTGAAAGAAACATTCTATTGTCTCTTTGTTACAGTATTAGTCAAGACCTTAGATTCAACATAAATTTGTTTTAACATTTTATTCTTTTAGTGACGACACTTGAATGGAATGAGGCTGGACAACGTGGAATTCTAGAATTATGAAAAATTGATCCTTCTTATATTCTGTATTATTATTTATTTGTTTGGTTTTTTGTGCCTTTAATAATTTTCTTTTTATAGGGTACTTTACATTACGATCATGATGATGAAAATATATGACCGTGAGTAGGGTTTGAGCCGATAGCCAGTTAGGGCTGTACAAAAGTGTACAATATTTTAGTATAATGTTTTAACATTTAACATTTCATTCTAGAATTTTGTTAATAAATTCAGGTCGTAATCGGTTGAAAATATTTATTACTCGACGTTGGTTTGACATCAAAAGTCTTCATCTAGTTTATACCTTATCATAATTTTCCCAAAGTTATAATCATTGGCTTCGCACATAAATAGCTCCTCTATAACCTCTAATGATATATAAGGCAAGTCCCCATAAATATGTTGTATGTACGTCAAAATCAAATTTTGTGGATTTCAAATCAACTTGTGTTGCAATGGAATTCTAAACCGATTTTGTTGAAAAGAGAATTCAAATTCCACTTAATAAGTAAATTTAGAATTAAATTAAAATTCAATTAAAATTAATTTATATAAAAAAAAAATAAAAATAATTGAAATTGAAATTCTTGTTAGCAAATTTTATAAAATTGTTTTTTTATTTACTATTTAAAACCTGATATTCAATCTGAAGTAGAAATTACAGATAATAGTTCTTTGAATTTGTCATTGGCGACTTTGCATGATCCATTGAAAGCTAAGACCACCTGATTCGTATAATCCATACGAGGATTGCGTAGTGTTCTTGCAAAAAGCCCACCAATATTTTCTTCATTCAATAAGTTGTTCTAATATTCAAAGAAGTTAGAGTAGTACCTACGAAATACATTTGCTAATTCTTCCAATTTAAATTTATCATAATAAAAAATTGTGTTTTTTCTAACTAAGCCCAAAGAAGTCAGTAGTATTTTTATGAAGTACTCCGCTAATACTTTTCTTCTTTATTTCAATGCAGTCATAGTGGTGTCCTTGTAAAGTGCATTCCAACTTCTGATCAGAGTTTGTTGGTGCCAAATTCAAAAAAAAAACCTTCGCCAACTTCTGGTCAAAGTTTATTTCAAAAGAAATCAGGTGGTATTTTTGCAAAATTCTTCTGATTATTGTCTCTAATCCGAACTTATTCCGACTATAATTAAAGTTTTCCTATTTATTTATTAAGATTTTCCTTCATTATTTCATCATTATTTCATTATTTTTCATCATTATTTCATCATTATTTCATGATTAACCTAATACAGGTGATAAATGTTGACTAAAAAATAAAAGATTATATTATAATGATTTATTGACTGTAATTGGTGGTCAAAGAGTATATTTAATCTTCAAGAGTATGAAAATCCTTAAAACATGAGCGTTCTTTGTTACAACACAGCGCAACATCACACTTACTACACCATATATTAGATTGGGGTGGATTCTGTAAAGCCGGCTTGTTTTCTTTTTTTCGTATATATCGACACCACAGACAAGCTCTCCTTTCATTGTATTCCGGAAAATGATCATTGCCAACAAATCGGCTTAGTGGTAGTTTAAAATTTTCAAAAACTCGGGCTTTTTTATTTTCAGCTTCTTTTTCAACCTGGCTTTGTCCTTCACTTCGCGTTGTACGTTTGAGAGGATTAATTGTTGCATCATTGATTAGAGCGCGAACCAATTCTAATCTAAAGCTTTTGTGTTCATTACATAAAGTCAAATTTTTACTCATAATATATGAATTTACAAGGGCTGTATCTAACAACCAGAAAAAAAGAGGCATCCATGTTCTACAAACTATTAACTGGGTCGAATAATAGCTACGGAGTTGGTCTGCAATATCGACAGCACCCATGTGAAAGTTATAATCATTTACTACTTTTGGTATTGGTAAACTTTTACGAGGTGAATCTCCAAATACCAATCTTATTTTTTGGCTATTTATATTTGTCTCTCTTGGTCGTCTTCGTTCTCTTTCAATTCTACTATTTTCTCCTTCAATTACATGAATTGTTGTAAGCATAGTGACAGGTCCGTTGTCAATCCATAATAGTGCCAGTACGTTATTAACTACCACACCTTTTAAAAAATCCCACTCCAGATTTTTTTTTTCTTTTTCTTTTTTTAAAATAGCAGGAAAATTTGCTGTATTGATACGAACGGTACCACATGCGCCATATCCTTTTCTCGAAGAAAATTGAACAAGTTAACACTGGAAAAATAATTATCCATAAAAATGTTAAATGCCTTTTGTGCCGGAAGTTGTTTCACAAGATGATACACTTCTGAACCCGTTTTATTAATATTAGAGATCAGATCAACATGTGAAGATTCTATTCTCGATGTAAACATAAATGTATAAGTGTATCAGGACTCGCACAATGATAAAATTCGATAACCTTCGGGTGTTGGCTTGTTTTTAATTCGAAATGTGTGAGCGCTTCTCCCCGAGAAGCGCGCGATCATTTCGTCCATAGCAAGGTTCGAAGCAGGAATGTAAAGTTGTTGTGAAACTTTACGAACGTGAGATGCTAGTGGTTCTAATTTTGCAAACGTATTATTAGTTTCTTGTCTAGTACAATCAGATATATGAATATATCGCTTAATGTTTTATTTAAAATAAAATAAACGTTTTAATAAATATAATAAAATGTATTATTTATAAAAAACAATTATAAAAATACTTATCTGTTGAAATCGTAACAGAGTCATGAAATTTGTTATTTCATGTGAGGGATAAAACGTATCTTTATTCCAATAATCATGAACAGCTGGAAATTTAAAAATTCCCATATATATTACTAATGCAAGCCAGATTTTAAATTCCAAAACAGTTAATGGGTCCCATTTACGGCCTGTATCAGTATTGTTTTTTGTAATTTGAGCATAAGCATAGATGTTAGTATTTTGTACAATAGTTTCTATTAATTGAGCAGAAAAAAATTTTGAAAAAATATAAAATGTTGAAGGGTTATCCGATTCTAAATCATTAGAGGGCAGCGAAACAGAGGCTTTGTGTAGTGGAAATTTATGTTGAAAGGGTACAAACTTAGATGTAAGTATAGATGTAGATTTATCTTCATTTTTTTTTTTTACTTTTTGAATTATTTTCATGATCGATCTCAGCATCTTCATTGTCTACATCATGATTCCGATCGAAAAAGCAAATATAAACATCGTCAATTTCTGTTTCGTCAATAAAATTCATTTTTTGGGTTTGAAATGTTAAATTGTAAGTAAATTTGCGAGTAAAAGCAATTGATTTAGTACTTTAAACGTAAATAATTAAGCAGGGGCACAAATTTTCGTATAATTCTCAATTTTTATTGGTTAAAATTGGAAATTTTTGATCTTGTTAGATATTCAAGCACCATATTGCTGTATTGTAGACAATTAATGAACATAATATAATGGTGATCAGCGATAACCTTCGCTATGCCTTCTAAAAAGCCTGATAATAAAATTTTTTATTCAATCAGCTGCCGAAGCTTCAACTTCAGTTGCGCCAGCTTCACCTTTTAATGAATTTACCAATTTAAAATTTTGTTGCAACAGTAACAGAATCAATTTATGGCGTCTTTAGCGAACCTTGCTTTGTGGAAACAAGAAATAAATTTTTTTTAAAAAAAAAATTTTATAAGCAATCTATAGTAATCCTGCAGCTGCTACTTCACACTGAAAGTGGCATAGGTAATACGAAAAATAGTATAACCATTATCCGTTAAATCGAGAAAAACATCTGTTCAAAATCCTTCAGTTTTGGGTCGTTTTTGCTGAAAATTTTTTAAATTTAGATGAACGAAAAACGGAATAGCAATATCCATTGCAATTTGGTTAAATGTTAAAGATGAGTTGTATTAACTACATTAATGATTTGTTTTCACTAAAAATCAAATGGCCATTTTTGATCGGTTAGAAATTTGTTGAGAATTCGTATTTTGATATGTAAAAAATGTAAAAGTAATACTTGAGTGACCTTTATCAGATAAATTAATTCTGACTTATTAAAAAATTTGCCTCCGATCCATTGAGTAGATACTTTAGTCGGCTAAGGTCGCTCTCAAGCGCCTCAATCAATGAGTCAAAAAGTGTTTGGGAATAAATTTTACTTAGCGGAAAATATTTAAAATTAATTAAGCGTGTTTGTCATTACGATGGATATACGTAAAT